AATTCACTCAAAATACAACAATTTCACACCTTTCACGTAGGTAACCGTATAAAGTCGAGATAAGAGATATACTGTGAAATTAATTAGTGTTGCAGAGATAGTAGAATTTCATGAGGAATTCAATGTTGATTGCCAAGGAAAAAAATCACAGGAAAGTGGTAAAAATGAATTTCACCTTTATTGTTATATATTGTATGTATTTCAATAAAACAGAAGAGTCATTATTCAATAGAAGTTTCCTCACTCCTCTGTTTTTCTTGTGCCTTAAAGTTGAAATTACATTTGAAGGAAGTAAATTTATTTAGACAGATCAGCGACTTGAACGTAATGAGATTTTAATTGAAAAAACTGATTAGCTAATATATTATAGTATAGGTCTATACTTATTGCTTAATTTGCATAAGTCTAGTATGCATATGTATTAGTAAGAAATTTGCATCAGTTGAACATAAAACTTCTTCTATACATAAGACATAATATTTGTTTGTTAAAGTATTTCGTATCCATGGGTGATTGTTTATATTTTGCGTTTCATAATTACATAAAAAAAATTTAACCTAACAGGACATTCGCTGCAAAATACATAATTTATAAATGATAAAAGGGATTGAAATGTCTCTTAAGAATCAACTACTTAAAATGATGACAACTGATATAGTAATATGTGACGTCACAAATGAATGTAAAACAAATTTTTCTTGCATTTCTAAAATATTTTTGAAGTGTTCACAAGAAATCTTTGATTATACGTTCTGTGTGTACATCCCACAAAGCTAATTATGGTGGGGACTAATGGCGAATGGAAGCAATTTCAGTAATGTTTCAATATATAATATATATAATATAATATATATATATAATATATATATATATAATATATGTATATATATATATTATATAATATATGTATATATAAATTCTTCTTATACATTTTCCAGGAGATTGGTTAGCAAATTGATATCACCATCCTAAGTTGTAGTGGTACGGCTACTATATTGATTTTGCGACTCTGTGAGCCGAAATACATATATCAAATTTCATAGCAACCCCTCTTGAAATTGCAAACCACATTACCCTCGAAGTTGTACCTACATATTTATGGCGGTCAAAGATATAAAAGATTTATCAAATTCACGAGAAACGAAAATGACTATAGTGAAAGGAGAATTCAGTACACCAAGTAAAACATATATTATAATGCTTAAGGAGTTTTACAGGATCAAAACAGTTCAGACGACGTTAAATATGCATGATGTTAAGTCCTTTTAGTCTCTTTTATTGTCTAAGATATTAATCATATTTCACCTGATGTGGAAAAAGAGATAATTTGGGTTATGAAGTATGTAAATCGAAAAGTCGTTTGTCAAATCTCGAGGGATTTACAGTGATCTTTCAAGTGGACTTTGTGTATAGGCTGGGTGGACTATCCCAAACTTATATAAGAGTGTGGGCTATTGCACAAAAATAGGCACTCAATGTACATTTGTTATAATTATTGCTTAACGCTTTTAGGGTAATTGGGCAGCGGATGTGTGGCACTCAATGTATACTATTATTTCATACTTATATGTTTGAGAACTGAAAATGTGCTAATATATCTTTACAAATATAAAAACAATTTTTGTGCAGATGTCGTTTTTGTCTATTGCATTGTCAATGGGGAAGAAATAATGCAAATAAAACAAAGTTGGTTTCACTATGATTTTTTACAGAACATTCATTAAAGTATTTCAGAAAGTCACAAGCTGTTGATATTGCAAAAATTCTTCTAGCAGAGTTAGATAACTTCTCCCCTTTCTCTCAGTGTTATCTGACTGTACTAGAAGGTTAAATAAATATATATGAAACGAACCCTTCAAGTGTTGTGTGTATTGATTTCGTTGATGAATGAAAGATATAACGCCCAGGAAATGACATAACCCTCACATACAGGCTATATTCCTGTCTTTAATCATACCCATCAAAGACGTAATCTTTTTTCTTCACCATCAATGCTTGTGACACTCGAGGAGGAAGTGTTTTTGTGCTGTTTCCGTAGTCCCGCTTCATGCAGCTTCAATAAAATCAAAATGAACCCAAAATTGTTGATGGAATAATTGAATTGAATTATTCCGAGGGATGTTTTTTATCATCGTTTCTACCCAATGCTAAGGTAACTTTTTTGCCTCACAAAGACAGTGGAAAAGACCGAGACAAATGAAAATTTTTCTGTCTACAGTCCATGTTCAATTGTGATTTAATAAAAGCATGCCCGCATGTTTGACCCTTTGGTGCTCACTTTACTCTACTTGCTAGGGGATCATCACAGGGTGTGTTTTCACCCCCATTTATTTCATGTGAAGGAATGAACACTTGCTTAGTAGAAGTTAAAATTAATAAATATACACCTTTAATATCAGATACTTTGACGAAAAAAATGATTATGGGAATCTATGTGAGAATGTGAATTTTCTTCGATTAAAATACAGCCAGTTGTTACCTATAGCAACAAGTATTTCATCCCCAACGTCTGGATCAACGCATAAAAAACTCCTCCATCACGGTTATATATCAAATTACGGGATTTATCATCCCTAGAATTTCAATGGGATCTCAGACAAAAAGTGAGTTTGGTGAGTTTTCTCGTTTCTAAAGTAGAGATAACACAGATAGAAAATATATGTATCTCATTCAAGAAGAAAACACCCTAAAACGTGCACAAAGTGTGAGAATTGTAAAAGGTGGAAATGAAATGAGCGGATAAGACCACACGTAAAGGAATTTTACATTTAATTCACAGGTGTTTCATTTAGATAAATGCTCATCGCAAAATTTATCCCATTAAAGTTTCAGGTGCACGATGGTAGTAGAGAGGCGTTCAAGTTTTCCTTTTTTTGTTCCCAAAAAGCACTTCTGAGCGCGGCAAAATACTTCATCTGCGGTCAGATTGGTGGAAGAGTATAGGAAATTTCGTTAGCAATTTTGATGCCAAATATGTGCAGAGTAATTAAAGCTAAAATATTTGCACATGTGCTTAGAGACACATGAAGTTGAAGTGAGTAAACGCCGTGCATCATAGTAATTTACTGGGGACGCTGAACTCTACAATCATTACTTAAATATGAACCACCCGGGGCTTCCCTTCGCCATCTCTAGTGCTCCTGGCAACACCCTCAAATAGAGCGTATAGCATAGAACCCCGATATCTTCCGATTTTGGCATTAGTTGCTCCGAATTTCCTGCCTCCTCGTTATTCCTTGCGTGGAAATGCACGCTTGTGTGCTCACGCTCAGCGAAATGAAATTCACCATCTCCGGTTATTCACCCACTGGGGACTAGTTCCCCAGCGACAGCTCACTACCACCATCCCCCCCATTCACCCAGACTCTACTTCCCCAAAATATATTTTTGGGTTCTGAAGGTATCCCCCCGAAAATTTTGAAGCGTCTGCCTCAAGCACACGTCCAAGTGCTTCATCTTGGGAATTAAATTCCATTTCGAAAGACAAACACTGACGCATCTGTATTAGATAAGAAAAAATGGCGCTTATGTCGAGGAAAACTTGACATGCAGAAGAATGAGAAGTGCGCTACTCATTCTAGAATTGCTCAATTGAATCGAAGACATTGAAAACTCCACTACATCAAATCATCTCCACTCATTTCCAATTTGCTCAAATCCTGCAAATGATTTTAATTTAACAAATCTCATTATTGAGTTTTACTTCGCTGCAAATTCTTGAGAACCATTCAGACCATTGGTTTAAGAGTTTCATTAAAATTAAACTGCAAAGCAAGAAACTGTGAGCAAACAACGGTCAGTTATCAAACTTGCTGAAAGCAATTTATATCTTTCTATATTATCAAATTATTCACATTGCATGACATGATGCTTGAGACATAATGTAAAATTCATCAATCTGTAATAAATTTGTACTACTTGCTGTAGGAATTCGGGAAAATTGAAATCGTGTAAAGGAAGTGGAATTTTAGTAATAGCTTAAGCGTATCCCTTGCGATGAAAATATTTCTCTTTAATTAATTGTCGCCTCCAGGTATAGCTTCATATCCTTTGAAGTGATACTTTATAGAACATGGCAGAAATTAACTGAAATGTCTAAGACAGTTGTGTTTGAAATAAAAGCTTAGATAGAAGGTCGGCGACGTGTTTATGCACGAAAGAGTGCAAATGACAAAAACCAGCTATGCTTTTGATGCTCTGGATAAAATCAAATGTTCACATCCCTGTGCCGAAGTTTTGATAGATCCAGTTAAAGCATAATGACAACCCCCTTGGTGAGATCAATCAATCATGGGGAGTAGAGGACACATTTGGTACTCTTGGACTGCAAATATTTTGCAATCATATGAAATGTATGGGTGAATTTGGGTGATTAGCTGATGAAAAGCTACAAACCTTAAAGTCTAACAATATTTGACCAACCGGACATTGATACATCTGTGTGTTTGAACAAGCCACAATAGAGGAAGCAGCATCGCCCCTGGGGATATGTTTGTGATTTAGAATTCACTTCCTGATCTCACCACAAATACCTCCACACCCTGTCTGCAATGAGAGACACATCCAAATTCAACCCCTGCTCCATTTGCCATCCTTGACGTTCTAACAAATCGAATGCAGCCGCCCATAAATACACGTCCAGAGTTGCCCATTCACCACTCCCCAATTGGTGGTGAATAATTAAAATTATTTATTCTATTAATTATTTGCTCCACTCCCCGGCTACCAAGTGGTTGCTCTATTGTTGCACGGTAAACCCGGAGGAAACACCAAATCCAGAAATGATCACCATCCATTTCCCACTGTAGAAAATTTGGCTATTGTATTGTATCAAGCTGTGCTGCTATTCTATTGCTATAATTTCACTGTAAATTTATCGACCCTTTTACGAAAAATCTCACATTAGGGCAAACAAAATGATCCCAAGTTTGTAAAATGTGTTAAATATAAGTAGTAATTTGGGAACAAAAATTTATAGTATAATTGCAAAAATATCTTACTCACGTATGCTCAGAACGTTGGGCTGATAATATCCTAGAAAAGATAAAGGAAAAAGCATGTTAATTGCAAAAAAGATTGGAATATTTTCATATTTCGCTTGATAAGCGATTAATAATTAACTTAATACGCTTATATAGAACAATCGTCACGCGTTTGTTTATTAGTGTGATACTGGCCGAGGTGAAAGCCTAGGCTAGAGCCGATTCTCATTACATATATCGCGTCCGTGTTAATCTTTGGTCAAGACTTGGTAGTCGATTGTTTTCGAATTTACTAAGGTCTTGTCTCAAATGGTTCGTCACTAACCGTGGTTACCGTCTTTTTTACAATTTGAGATTTTTTTTAGCACTTTCTCAACTTTATGACTTTAATCTTATGAATTAATCTTCAAGTATCTTTTCCGTTGTATCATAAATTATTTCTTCATGAATGTTTCTCAATGATACAGACTTGTATGAATATCGTCGACATTCAATGGTGTCATATTTTCAGCATTACAATATCTATATACACTTGAATAATATGCTCTCTGGTGGAGCAAACTTTTCACCTGCGCCTAACAATAGGGTTGGATGTTGAGGAGGAGAATTTGAATATTTTCAGCAGAGGGATTTGCAATCAAATAGCACATTCCGGAGGAAGAAACCGCCGCCTATTGCTCCGCCTTATTGGTCAAGAGAATACGTTTATAAGGTAAGCAAGGGTTTGAGAGGGGTGAACATATATTTAATTAATACTATGGTTTTGTCGGAGGAAGTACAAACTGTATAATAAGTCATATTCAACGGATTTGGGAAAATTTGTTATTTAAATAGATAGATGAATAGCTTAAGTTAAGTTATCCGCATTTGGAATACGGGAAAATGTGGTACCTAAATTGGTACAACAAATCTTTTATAATTACGCCCTAAGATTTGTGAGTTGCAGGATAAAAAACTTTGACACAAAATCTTTTGGTTGGCATCACACACATTGTGAGGAGAATTGTTTTCAAATTCATACATTCTTTTCTCCTAATACATTTCCGTAATCTTTTTTTCAAAGTGCCACATTCGTAGGCTCTATAGCAATTTAAACATTTTTCAATTCCAATGGTATTGCTGCTGAATAAATAATTCATCATCTTATAAATACTTTCTTACGCATACTTTCTTCTTTTTCTCAATAATCTTCCATTTCAACATGCAATTCATTCAATTATATAGAAAAAAATTAAAATGAAGCAAATACTAGACAAGTGAATTGCAGATATATTTAGCATTTTTTGCTTTTCCAAAGCATTCCTCTTCTATGTGTATTTGAACAGTTAAAATATTGATGGAATAATAAATGAGAAACCATATCAAGGGAATTTATTCTGGATATGTATGAAAATTTCGTCGAATATAAAGTTCTAAGTTGCTCCCCTTTTTTACATTTTAGATCCCTGATGCAAAATAAAGGATCTCGTCAAGAAAGTCGTGGAGACTTTTTGCATACTTGTAAATTTCTTATATAAACTTTTCCCATTGAGTTTCTTTTCATACCTCGTATTTCTTCTTCAATAACCATAGTTATACATTCATTTTTGCATTTCACCGTGATTTTTCATGTTGGAATCTTTGGGGAAAACGTTAACGGAAAAGAATGTATTAGGATGGTTCTTGACTGCGTTTCCAAGTTAACATCAATTTCCAAAAAATAAGTCCCTTTTTATCCTACCCACCCTCCCGATGAAGTCACACCCGCTTTAGCGTGAGTATACATTTTTCCGCTAACTACAGGATAAGTGGGAATCAATGAAAGGGGATTTTTCATGAGAGATTTTACTCTACAAATATACAGAAATTATGGTGGAATGGTTTACTGATAAAAGTCTAATGATGTGAAACTCTGATATGACTCATCGTCTTGGTATATTCACGAAATGTTTTACTTTGTATAGAAATTTATTTACTTATCGTTTTATTTCTCTTTCACTGTAAAAAAACACAAGAAGATTTTCTTCTTGTTTTTACAAAAAAGGATATATTCAACGATTTTGAATATTCCCAATGAATTCTGCATGCAAATAAACTCTTTATGTAATTAAAGAAAAAATCTTTTTTATTATTCCAGAACAAGAACATCAATCTCTGACATTATATGAGTACTATATTGGGGTCAAATTGTTTAGTTGTTGTTAGAATATAAAGCAAGACATTCAAATTGCACACAATGGCCTGATAAAACATATTCGACATAATTCTGTTTTTAAGAATATTTTTGCTACCATGTTTGCTTGATAGGAAACTATGATGATTTGTAAAGAGCATGTGTGATCAATTCACACATGCTAATGCAACATACATTATCACGAGGCACAGCCCAAACTCAGACAGAAGTTGAGAAGACCGCAATGTGGTAGCATTAGTACGTAAATTGTGAAGCACATCAGTAGTTATTTTTAAAGACGAGTTCTGGGAGAGAGCATGCAGCGGGTGTTATGCAGGTTCAGCGTGTTTTGTTGATGTCTGTTTGATTGCGTGGCAAATGACAATTTTTAAGCATCACTCTTTTGCTTACTCCGTGAAGTGTACGGATTTTTTAAGGATAGGTGAATAGTAGATGTGTCTAGGAACACTCGTTTTTTCTAATAAGGTTGCAAAACTAAACTATGTTGGAAATAAGATTGACAGACAAATAGAGCGTGAAGTTGGAATAAAAAAGTCTAAACCAAACTTTAGGAAGTCCCGAAAAGAACAGTTAAACTTATTTCACGAGCCATGGAGTTTCTCTGTGTTAATACAACAACATCCCATACTGACCATATCGGTGAACAGGTATGTCTGTTATTAATTACTTTAATTGTGAACATTTTCTAACTGGCAATATAATAACTAACCAAGAAATTTGAAGCAAAAGCTAATTTTATTAAATAATTATGACGGTAAGTTTAAATCTACCTACACCATTTTTCTATTATTGTGCCAATGAGAATTTTCAATTCTTCATATATATTTGCAATTGCCTCATCATTTGACCTCTACGTTCTCTACCTTCAAATCTCAGTTGGACATGTAAAAACGCTACCCTCTTTGTCTACAATACCTATGATTATGTGGAAGCTTCTGGCTGGAAGCTGTAGTGAATAAATTATACACGAAGAAAGCATTGTACTTTTACCAGACTAAGGAACAAAAAATGTCCCAACAATACTAGAGCTTTGAAAATAGACCCTGATGTTGAGAAAGGTATTATAAAATGCCAGGAGTTTGAAAAGAATCCAGCTAATTTTTTACATACCGTCAAAAGCACCCCGAAGCATATTTTTGCAATTAACAGCAATAAAAGGACAGCTTCATATACGGTTAATGCTTTTAATTTCTTTTTCACCCTCCACTGAAATTATTTATTTTGAATTTATCTCTCACGTTAGAGAGCGCTAGGTTTTTTTTTTAATAAATACTCTTTGCTAACTCTGTTGATGTGTCCTAACAGTCTCCCCTTTTGATACCAATACCAATAATAATGTATAAAATGAGAAATACCTACAGTCAAGGATTCATTAAAAATTTAAACACAATTGGGCTAACGTCATTATGAATATGTGGTTTAAAATATTCAAGTTGAGGATTTATATTTACATGATTATTTTAGTCAGCTGAGAATATTTTGATTATAACAATTTTGTATAATTGATTGAATTTAGAACCGGTGTCGTCCTTTGATTATACAAACATTGAAATTATGTTATTGATTAACATAATGGTACAAATATTTTGTAAAATTTAATTATTTAGTAAGGAAGGATTTAGTATTGGTGTACTGTGTCTTAACAAAAAAAAACATCAAGCTTAAGCAACAATAATTATTAGAATCTACATACAATATTAATCTAGAAATATATGTTAGAACTATAAAATCGCGTTTTAATAAACTAAAAGTATGAAGTAAAATTTTTTCACCACAAATAATTTTTCCTACTGAGGGATATTACACATTTGTACTTTGCAAACACACTGAATATATGAGGATATGTCAATAGAAATCCCATCTAACAAACTACCCCTTCTATATGTATAAAGAGAAATTATGATGAGTGTAACAGTGCAACATTTACCAATTTAATCTCTTTTCATTAGGATATTGCGCCTTTAGGAATGTAATTAAATTGTTTTAGCATATTCTGTCGCATGCATATAATTGAAAATTATGTATTGTAAGTTCCGACGAATGTAAATTATATACTATGTAAATTATAAAGCCTGCTATATTTTGTTAGCGATGTGTTTAAATATTCATCTGTCTGGCATAGCGGATGTTTCTCTCAAAATTGATCTCTAAGATTTACCAAAGCAATTACAAATGGATCATCGCAATTGAATTTTAGATAAAGATGTTTCAATGATTAAAATCCATAGAATTTACATACTTTTGACTTTAAATTCAAAGTGCAATAAAATATTTTAATTTCAGTATTGAGAGAAAATTGGTAGAACACCCATTTGTAGGAATCTAATTAAACGTCTGTGTCAATAGCACGTTAAAGAAACTTGAGTTAAATGTATACTTCTTCAGTTTAATTTAGGCAGCTTCTTTCTGTACAGTCCACCTTAAATATCGAATACATTATTCTCTGTTATTTGATATTTAAAGCAAGTATACTGTCACCATACAATTAATTTTAATTCCGAAGAGCGAAATAAAAACCTTCCCTTTTCATTTGCCTCACAGAATGAAATGGAACTGGAGAGGAAGAGACAAATTCTACAGGGGTGACAGAATACTCATTCTCCCTGTATTCTGTGGCAAAACATTGTTTTCTGGTCGATAAGTGGGGGATGGTTTTAAATTTTCCTTTTATTCTCCATCACCGTATAAAGAGAGAAACTCATTTTTCCTAATTTCCATGTCAGAAACGTTTTAACTTTAATAAAATTTCCTTGAGTGCCTCCCATTGAGTTTTTTATCTCTCATAGGACTCGGGAAGCAGAGTCGGGGGGTGACTTTATTTGTTGTTTCCAAATGCGAATGAGTTTACATTTATCCTAGTGTTTTTTTTTTCTCTTCTA